TTTAGCATTTTTTGTTTTTAGCATTTTGCTAGCCTTTGCTATTTTCATTTTAGCTACTGTTCTGCTGCTTTTAGCTAGGTTTCATCAAATTTAGACTTTTGCAACATTTAGCTAGCCCTTTGCTTCTTTGAAACTTTTGCTAACTTTTCGAGATTTTGGCGTTTTCTACTTGTAGTCCGAGTTAGCTCTGCTCTAATTTTAGAATTTAAACTTTGTGTTGCTTTTTTAAACTTTGTTAGCTTTCGGCTAGTGTTCTGCTACTTTTAGCTTTAACCTTTTGGTTGCGTCAGTCGTTCAGAGCTGATCGTTCACGCTGTATTTCAGCAGGGATGGAGGTGATTTAGCTGCATGTTTACATCTCACAGGCTCAGCTTCTTTAACAGCCTGTGTTAGTTTTAGTTGGACTAAAACCACCGAATCAGGACCCAAAGTTTAGTCCAGATCAGTAAAAACTTGGTCTAACTGGTTAAGAAAGGTTTAAGTGTTGACCTGCGTCAACAGAATAGAAACATTTTAAATCAAAGTTTATTCCCTCTCATTGCTAAACAAACGTTTTGCACAAAACAAAGATTTTCTTGATGTTTCCTGATCAATCTTTTATTGAACACTATTTCCCCGTAGGTCCGGTTGACGAACGATCAAATCCTAAAAGTGATACTCGTCCCCGCGTAACAAACAAATACAACGATTAACAAATCAGTGTGCAATCCCAGCAGGAAACAGTTTATTAGAAACTAAAAGAATAATGAAAATAGAACAAATTAAAATAAAGATGACTTGTTGATGTTAATCCTAAAGGAATCTTCCGCCTTCGTCACACACACATAAAATAAAAACTCTGTTGTCCAGTTTTTGTAAATAAGTTACAGTTCTGAGTTTGTTTGTTGTTTTGTGTAGAATAATAATAATTATTATTTAAAAAAGATTAAGATTTGATTCGTATTTTTATGCAGCTTTAGAAAAACTTGTAAAAATGTGCAGTTTAATCTGGAACACACGTACATGGTACGACGTAAACAACATTTGCACAAAAAATAAAATAATATGGCTAAAAAGCAAAAGAAAAGAATTCTGACTTAAAATAAGAGTGGGAAAATGTGGTGTGACAAAGTAAACCCCCAGTCTGGACTATACCTGGGATTAAAGAGAACCTGGGTCAGATTATACCCCAGGTCCACCATGGCCTCGACCTATTTATAATCCAGTGTTGAAATGGATCTGATCAATACCACTCAGGTCACATTACAACCCAGTGACGAGTCAAATACACAAGAATGATCTAATTTTATTAATTTACCTTAAAGTTGTTGCTGCAGTTACACTGAAGATGGGACCTAATAATCCCTGAGCTCTTTAAACGTGTCCATTATCAACAGGAACGGGTAAATCTCGAGCGAACTCCACGGTCCATCTGGACCCTCGATTCACTTAAGTTGGGTGAATTTCCAGGGTTCGTCGCCATTTTGTCTCAGAATATAACAAACATTTGTCTTGACAACAAATGGAAAACAAACAATTTACTGTTGAAATGAAGTCACAGTTCCCGCCGTCACTGATGCACGTTCACGAACATCGTTTGAGACCGACCACCAGGTTGGACAGGGATGGTCTCACCTAGACTCTGACCTGGACCAAACTATACTTTGCAATAGAAACATCTCAAATTTAAATGTTTTACAGAAAGTTGGACTTAACATGACGGAAGTGACATTTTAGTGCATTTAACAGTTTTTGAACGATGATTTTTGGCGGGACTTTTCCACAGAATGTTTAACTTCGTGAAGATGTCACTAAACCTAAAGCCGTCAAAGCTTTACAGAACATCTGGAAAGAAGTTTTTCATTCTCCCACAGTCCCTACAATGTTTATAAACTAAAGGAGTCCTTACACTTTTTATACAGTTTAAATTAGGGATGCACGATATTATCGGCATTGTATTGGTATCGGCTGATATTAGCGATAAAGTTAAATATCGGACATCGGCCATTCCATCAAAATAACATATAAAAGG